GAAGAATCTAAATAACATAATATAGATGTAATTCAAGGGAAGGAGGGAGAAGAGGAAATCTAGAATTGAGACACAGTGATACAAATAGGGATGATTCAGAAAGGCACAGATAAAGAGACCAAAGAATTTCATCAGAAAAACTTGATTAATAATGACAACAGTACAATAAAAGTAGTAAATATTTATACTCCATTAACAAAACTCAGTATTTTGAAAAACTATTATGAATCTGGAAGAATGTATATATCTTCATCTTGAGGAACTTCAGAACAACAACGCTTCTGGAAGTTATAGTAGTCAGAGGATATCTCATTTCCATAGATATGCTCTTCGGAATTAGGCTGCCGTGTGTTTTCATATAGCTCCTTGTCAGTTTGTCCTGCTTCCACATTTTCGTAGTTGTCATGTATGCTAGTTCTTGCAACAGCAGATCTGTGGTCTTGGGTTTCAATGCAGATTTTATGCCTTGTGCCAATAACGTAGGGACTCCAGGAGAATCTTTTACTATGGTCTTTTCTCCTGCTGCTTCCCCTTTGCAAAAACCTTGGTAAAGTAAATCGTGTGGTGTTATGGTGTTTCCAGTGCCAAGCACACCCAATTCCACAGACCAACAATAATAAAAATAGCAAAATTCCTATAGAAATGGCTACTGAAGTGTTTCCATGGCTTTTCAACATTTCTACACAAATAGTGCTGTTTAGCAGTTTGGTGTTGTCCTTAATGAATTAAATTCACAGAGACAGACTGAAGTTGTCCTTAATGAATTAAATTCATGTAGCCTACTATTGTTTAAAAATGAGTTTGGAAGCTCTTTTAGGCATTTCTTTTTTCAGATCTGAAGGAACATTACCTTGCAAAATCTCCGTGCAATTAGAAGAGAGATTAAGTAAACTTAGTTTTGGAACGTGGCTCTCTTCGTATGTGATGCTGTCCACATTACAAGCATTAATGTGTAGTTGCACTATATCAGGGGGATTTTATTCCATTCCACTTCCTTTTCTCTCAATAAATCACAAAATGAAGCA